AGCTGTCTGTTCAGACTACGTCCAACCTCAAGTTATCCGGCACCGATCCGGATACTTACACCGTCACATCTGACATTCACCTAGGCAGGATCCCACTGATCTCCTGCCGGCCGAAGCCTTTGGGTTTGGAACTTCTGCGCTCCTCGCGAGGCAGATTACTTCGGTAAAAGTCGCGTAGAGTGCGCCACGGTAGAGACTCGGAGACTACCAATAACCCATCAACCTCAGAGGCAATCGCTGATGGTTGACCCACCAAAACCCGGTAGTTCTAAGGAACCACCTCGGAAATCGGTCCGACTCCAGGACCAAACCGTCTCGGAGAAGAAAGCTGGCAAGCTGCCAACCCAGGAATCTCCAGAGACTTCATCCCCACGAGAAGAAGAAGAAGATGAAGACGAGGAGGATTCGGTACCAGTACTGACTATGAGAGACCTCCATAGGCAGATGGCCAGCTTGGTTGACCAAGTCCACCGACTGACCCAAGAAAACGCCGAGCTGCGGAGTAACGTAGTTCTTACCACCGAATCCCCACCGATAACGGCCGAACCACCTTTTAGTCCATCTCCAAGGTACACTTCGACCACCCCCGAGCCTCTACGTGTTAAACTCAGTGAGCGTACGCCCGCTATAGAAAGCTTAAGCGATGGCGTAGATCCTACCTTCCGTCAATGGCAAGCTTCGATAGTAGATCGACTCGAAATCAACTCGGATCACTACCGGAGTGAGCGAGCGCGAATGGCACTAGTGTGGGGCCACACCACTGGTATCGCGAAGGGATACCTAGAACCTCAGTACCTATCCGATTCGGACGGGTATCGGTTCCAAAATGCGGAGGAAATGATTGCGTTACTCAAATCATACTTCGTATCTGGCAATGAGCAAGCAGAGAGTCGTGCGGCTTTCCACCGACTGCTCATGGACAAGAGAGAATCGTTCCCAGCGTTCAAGGCGCGTTTTATCAGTGCCGCTATCAAGGGATCCGTATCCCGTTCGGAGTGGCCCTTCTACCTCTAGGAAAAGATCACTGTCAGCCTACGGGTTCCCAACCTTGGATTTCGACGATCCTGGGGTAACTCGTTTGAACAGATGGTAGAACATCTCACCGCCTATGACATGGAACGGAAAAACACTCCAATCGGAGTAGGTTCGGAGCGACGGACTACCTATGCTCCAACGGCGAAACCTAAGCCAGCTATCAATCACACAAGGGAGCATCGTCCTATCCCTTACGGGGCAAGCCCCGACCCCGCTCCGACCCCACCCCGGGCTGCCTCAAGTGCGCCTAGGCCTGCTTCAAAGACACCAGTGCCAGAACGCCAAGCTACTCCTAGCAACTGCTACAACTGCGGTAAGCCTGGACACTTTGCAACTGACTGTCCAGTCCCTCGCGTAAGGGAGATAGAAGCATTAGAAGAAGAAGATATGTTCGAAGAAGCTGCAGAATATCAGTCGGACGAGGATTGGATGGGAAAAGGCGAAGCCTAGGAAAACGCTCCGCCCTAGGCATAAACAAGTATGACCTTGCCAAGATTGATCTGTCACACTTATTTGGAGGAAAGCACTTCCGAGTTCCCACCGTTCTTTGCTCGAAGGGCTACGGCGTCAGTCTGCAATCGCTAGTTGATACTGGAGCCCAAGGGTTCTTATTTTTAAATTCTGCAGTTGCTCGTACTATCTCTAGTTCGCTTTAGGTTCCTATCCGACGGCTACCCTTTAAGATTACAGTTAAAGGATTTTAAGATCAGGTTCAAATAAGGGTAAATCAATATATCCGGTTACACCTCTCTATCGATGGCCGCAAGGTTTACAACTGCCCTTTCGTTATTATGGATTTAGGATCACAGGATTGCATTATTGGGATTAAGTGGCTGCGCCGCTTCCAGCTTCAACTAGACACGGTTCGGAACCGAATCGTGTGGCCAGCCAAGTACCCAGCAACTTATGATCCTGCCCCGCCCATTTTAGTGCAGTTGAAACAACCAGCTGTCGACGCCGAGGTTGAGAAGGACATTGAGAGACGCAACGCTCTCTGGGAGAAGGACGACTATCGGAGAAGAAACAGCCCAACCACGGCTAGTATCCAAAGAATCCGTGGCCTTCTTCGACTTCCAAAAGCCCGTCCTCTACCGCCCGCACCTAACCCTGTACCGAAACCTATCCGACCTGCACCTTCTTCCCCTCCTTCACCCCGCATCTCACTTATCTCTGCCAACGCCTTCCACTACACCATGAAACGCAAGGAAAACGAGTTCTTCACGACAAGTATCTATGAGATCGATCGTATTTTAGAGGAGAGACGACTAAAAGATGATCCTGAAAATGCCAAGTTAGTTTAGGACCGACTTCTGTTCGTCTACTATCCGTACCGAGACGTGTTTAGCAAAACGGCAGCTGATTAGCTACCTAAACACCGCCCGTACGACCATAAGATCGTTCTTACCGAACCTCTGCCGAGTTAGTTCAGTCCCCTGTACAAGCAGAGCACCGAAGAGCTCTAAGCGACTAAGGCGTTCGTTATGGAGAACCTTCAGAAGGGATACTTTTCCCTAAGCTACAGCCCTTTCGCCTTCCTAGTCCTATGTGTTCGGAAGCTAAACGGAGACCTACGCATCTGCGTGGATTACCGCAAACTTAATGCTATTACACGCAAGGATGCGTATCCAATCCCGCGTATTGATGAGCTACTTGCTCGTCCTCATAAGGCTCAGATCTTCACTAAGCTTAATATACGTGCGGCTTTTAATAAGATCCGGATGGACCCTGACTCTAAAGAATACACTATATTCCGTACACGTTACGGAACGTATAAGACTAAGGTACTGCTCTTCGGGCTGTGCAACGGTCCGGCAATCTATTAGCGATATATGAACGATGTGTTAATTGATTACCTGGACAACTTTTGTATCGCCTACCTAGACGATATCCTTATCTACTCTGAGTTAGAGTCGGACCACATCCAACATGTGCGCAAGGTACTAGAAAGGCTACGACAAGCAGGACTCTAAGTTGACATTAAGAAGAGTGAATTCTATGTTACTTGTACGAAGTACCTAGGATACGTCCTTACCAATAAAGGCCTAGAGGTGGACCCTAACAAGGTAGAAGCCCTCCGTAACTGGGTCCGGCCTACCACCGTTATGGGTGTGAAGTCGTTCCTAGGTTTTATAGGATTTTACTGGCAATTCGTTCTAGAATACTCGTGAATTACTAAACCTATTATCGCACTCTAGAGCCCTGCGAAACCTTTTGTATAGGATTTGGATTGCGACCGCGCCTTTAAAAGGTTAAAAGCAGCCTTGCTAGCAATCCCCACCTTATATTACTACCACCCAGAGTATGATACTAAGGTAGAGACAGACGTATCTGATGGTGTTGTAGCTAGAGTACTATCTTAGAACTAACCCAATAGCTTATAGTGCCTAGTAGCCTTCTTTAGTAAGGTCCTATCTAGATCGGAGCTAAACTAGGAGATACACGATAAAGAGTTATATACTATTATTATAGTATTCGACAAGTAGAGATCTAAGTTAGCCTCTACTTACTCCTAAGTCCAAGTGTACTCTAATCACCGCTCGCTAGAATACTTTATAACTACTAAGATTCTAAACGCCCGATAAGTGAGATAGGCTAAACAGCTCGCCTTGTTTAACTTCTACATCTAATACACGCCCGGCAAGGACAACGCTCGCGCTAATATCCTTAGCCGTTGGGAACAGAACCTGTAGAACTTAAGGAATGCCCAAATTAATAACCGTTCGCGGGTTCTTCTAGGACCACACTAACTTAACAACCAAATTAACTCCGAACTCGCCAAGGCATATATAGAACAACTATCTAAGTAGGCTACCTCGCTGCTAGTAGTTGAGCCTACTTAGGAGACTATGTTCCTGGACTCTCTTGAGCTAATCGAGCTTCTATTGCAGCAAAACCGTATATCGTTTGAGAAAAAGCGCTGTACTCTCCCTAATAAGTACTGAATAGAAAATGGACTATTACTCTACTCGAACCGTCTCTGCGTGCAGCTAGACTCCCCCGTGTGCACGCGACTGATCTGAGAGGCCCACGATTAGGTCTCATCAGCCCACCTAAGTGCAAAGAAGACTTATTAGCTACTATCTTGGAAATACTATTAGAAAGGTATAGAAGCTACCTATAAGAGATACGTGCGGAACTATCTAGCCTGCCGTAAAGCCCATCCGAGACAGACCTGAGTCCCAGAGCTAATTCACCCCCTTCTAATTTCTAACTGGCCAATACAACACCTCTGTATTAACTTTAAGGAATTCTCTAAGAATAAGACTAGATACAATTAGATTATGGTCGTGATCGACTAGTTGTTCAAATAGGCCATCTCTATCCTATATTATAAAATAATTGACGTAAGGGGTATGGCCAAACTCTTTATCTAGTGGGTGTACCGATTCGGACACACCCCAGAGATAATTATCTCTAATTAAAGACTATAGTTCGTGTCTAGTTTCTAGTCCGAGTTCTATCAGATCCTAGGTATTAAGGTTAAGCTATCTACCGCCTATTATAAGGAAACTAATGGTTAGATAGAGATTATAAATAAGTACATTAATTAGAGACTACGTCCGTTCGTAACCTACTACTAGAATAACTAGAGTAGGCTGCTGCCTCTAATTAATCATGCCCAAATTTCCCTACCTCACTCTTCTATCAGCATGTCTCCATATCAGATCCTTTACGGATCCGTACCCAAGCAAAGCTAGGACTAGCAGCATCCAACTAGTATCCTTACCCCTACTAATAAACTTAATCATAAGGATGCTCTAGCGCTTACCACCCGCATACACGCCACATAGAATACCGCCAAGCAGCAGATAGAGAAGACCCAGAACCGGATGCGATCCGCCGTCAACCGCCATCATCGCCCTGTCGATTAGGACATTAGCGATATAGTGTTCTTAGATACTAAGAACCTAGTAATCGACCGTCCAAGTCGTAAGCTGGCCGCTAAGTAGGAGGGTCCCTTTAAGGTCCTAGAGAAAGTTGGCCACTCGTATCAACTTCAACTACCAGTAGGCTCCCGTATCCACAACGTGTTCGCTCTGGACCTACTATATAAGGACCCCCAAGACCCCCTCCCAGGACAAGAAGCTCCTAAGCCTCCTAGTGAGCCTATCCAAGGTGTAGAAGAGTGGGAAGTAGATTAGATCCTTGCTAGTAAGTTATATCGTGCTAAGTTAAAGTATCAGGTGAGCTAGATCGGACATAATCCGGATCCTACCTAGTACCCCGCCTCCAACTTCATAAGAGCTCCTTATAAGCTTAGAGAGTTTTATGAACAAAACCTATCAAAGCCGGGACCTCCTCAGGCCCTTAGCTAGTAGATTCAAGCTTAGGAGAAAGGTATAGACAATATAACTTCGCTGCAGGATAATCAAGTGTAGAGAAAGAAAAGAAAAGTAGGTATAGAATAAGCCGAAAGTCACCCGAAACAGTCTCTCGCGCTAGCGTGGAGGAACTGCAATAGAGAGGTATAAGAACAGTCTCACAGCTATAGGACTAGCTGTCTACTAAGAGAGGGGTAGTGTAACGATGTTACAACTTCGCCATGTATCGGACCAATCCCAGAGCTGGATCGGAGGTAGTACTCGCCGCTCTCTTCATCAACCACTCGTTGTGAGGTCGGATCCGATTCGGATCCGACTAAGATAAGTATATAAGGAGACACTCCCTGTAGCTAGCTCTGTAGACTTTTGATATCCTTTCGTACAAGGCCTATAGGTGTCTATTCGAATCAAGGCTCGTTTGATGTCCCACGCACTCCCATATGCCTCTGAGTGACACTACCGCCGATACTGATCCGAGTAGTCTTGCCTGCGCCGTTACATCGTGCTGATCACCCGGATTATGTTAGAGATTAGCTGATTAGCTTATATCTCTAACAAGTAATAGCTATTAAGTGCGTTAACGCGTCTAGCTAGTGTCTTCTACTATTTATAATACTATCTAGTAAAGTCTACTAGGCTGCCTAGTATAAAGAACTCCTACTTGACTAGACTATTAGCGTATTAGATAATAGCTAGACGATAGACGAGCTTAGTATAGAGTAGGTGAAATACTTTAACTAGTATATAGCCGCTTATATAGCTAGAGTCTATTATCTTCTTATTCTAGACAGATATAGTAGCTACGCTATACTAATTTAATTAGTACTGTAATGGGCTGCGCCCGTGGAGTGAAAGCACGTGATTGTATCACGTGCCCACATCACGTGCCTATATCACACCGCTTAGTTAGAACTTACTCGTACGAAGATGTTACAAGTAACAAGAAGGATCCTCTCCTTAACAAATGACGAGATGGCTGAAGGCTTATGGACGTCCACGTTAGAAGGTAATAATCATCGCGGGGCCTGGGTCACGTGATGTGCTATCCCGCCAAGACAAGATATCCCGCCAAGCATGGGATGGCAATGGGATTAGGGATAGTATGCTATCACAGACATCCCGCTAAGGAGTAAGAAAATAGGATGGACGGGATGGCAGGACTAGAAGTAATAAGGATATAAGGATAGATAGATTTCATTATTACTCTCGTTGTGGTTAACTTAAATTATACTTTCTTACTAGTATCTTTACTTAATAAGATTATTATAAGTTAGTCTATTAAATAGATTAGTCTTATTAAACCCTCCTTAAGTACGCCAACTCCACTGTATTGCTAGATAAGCCTTACGGAACACTAACGTAATACTCACCTGCCTTAGTGCGGACTAGAATAGAGAAGTATAGACCCTTACCCCGTGTAACACTTTAACCACCTACGGATCTAGTGGAAGGAGGATTAACTAGTAGCGTCCGAATAAGATTGAACTATGTTAGGAAATTTAAGCGAATATGTTCACATCCTAGGCTTGGCGCCTAAGGGAGATATTAATATAACTAGTAGTACCTAAGGAGGAAATAACGAGCTAGCGGTAGGGAGCCCTGAGTATAAACTTATTAATCTTAGACGTAAGAGCTAAGCCTAAGTAAGGTAGATAGCTAAGTTGCAGAATACGATTAACTAACTTATAGGTTAACTAATGGCCACCCTAAATGAGAAACTACTTAAGAAGCTGAAAATGGCAACCTTAGAAAAGTACGATAGAAGTCGCACTGAGTTGCGGACATTTCTTACTAATATTAATTTATATTATGAATTTAACGAAGTACCTAATAACTAAGAAAAAATCCTTATGGCCAGTACCTATATAAAGGGACGAGCGTTAAGCTAGATGCAGCTATACGTGGAGGACTATCTATTAGATATTAAAAAAAGAGGAATAAAGAACGAGACGCGTGCCTTATTCACTAGTTAGGCCGAGTTTAAGAAAGAGATAGGATATATCTTTAGGGAAGTAGATACTTAGAACTAGGTAGAGAAAGCGATAACTCGCCTAAAGCAGACTAGTTTA